TGTATATTGTCTGTACTAAACATTTATAAATAAACTTCTGACTGGTTGACCATCGTGGCTGCCAAAGGTTAAAAAAATAAAATAAAATAAAAAAAAAAATATATATAAATTTATATATAATAATAATGCAAAAAATTAATAAAAGTTAATTTACAATTTGATATTGTAAATAAAAAAAACAATAAAAATTTTATATAAAAATATTTTTATTAAAATAAAAAAAGTTGATTATAATTAGGTTTTTTTAAAATCATTTAAATAAAGACTGTAACTGTTTAAAAAATTAAAATTTTTTGTATAATTATTAATAAATATTACTATAGTTTTTAAAAAATTTTTTTTTTTTATTTGTTTATTTATTTATTTTTTTAAATATTAACAGTGATTTGTTTATTTATTTTATTTTTTTATAATTTTAAAAATTACAAAATGCATTTTAAAACAGAATTGTATTTTTTTGATATTCAAAACTTTTTTAACATATTCAATATTCAAATAACCAAGTATTTAAAACCTATTTAAGCTTTATAAATTAAATAATTTATTTGAAAATAATATAATTAAATAAATATATATACTGTATATTTAGTTTTAACCATTTTTATTTAAAGAGTTAAAATAGATTATTTTAAGTAATTTTAATATTTAAATATGTTCAAAATGTTAAGTATACGTGATCAAGTTTTATTGGTCGATTACAAAATTGTAGTTTATATTTTTGGTCGATTTTTTAATCTACACTGCAATGCATTGTACTGGCAATAAATAATAATTTAAATTATAATTTATAAATATATTTTAATAATTACAGTATTATATTAGAAATATATAATTAGATAACTATATATATTAATTGTTATACGTAATATGTTTAAAGTTTTTGATCTTTTTTCATTTTGTTTTGGTTACGCGAGATCTTGTCTTTTGTATAGCGGGTGACATCACCCGAAAAGAAAATTAGCATTGGTTTTATATAATCTAAAGCTCTATGTATTGTTATTTTGACTTGATAATTTTATTTTGAAGCTATTTTTGGTAATCGATTGTGTGTGTAATTGATTATTTGCAGACAATTTCAGCCTTTTTACTTAATAGGTAAAAAATACATACCAACCTGGAATTTTTTTTAGTGGAATATTAATAAACAGAGAAGCTGAATTTAACTTTTAAAGTTTGTTTAGTACCTAAATTAGTTTATTGAATAGTTTATTCTAAGCAAACCTTAAATCCAAGCTCAACTCTAGAGATAGTGATAGCATTTAAATGAACGATCTACGATCAAGAGTTATAAGGAGACGCATAATTCAACAGATCGACATCTTCTTAGTGGCTCGTGGCTTTCTATTGTTACAAATGATTATGGTAAATCAACGCATAATACGTGTGAAGAGAAGCCTTAAAGTGAAATATTTGCGTTACACGACATTTTTCCGGCAGTTTTTTTAAAAGCGATTTTGATTATAGAATGCAACCTCCCGACCTTTCCAAGTCCCTTCGTGCAATTTCTCGTGCCGTCTTAAGTCGAAATTGCATAGTCTGACAGGAGAAAAAAGCTAATAAGAAATTTTTTTCTGTGGGTTAAAAAGGTAGCACTTGTCCATAATATTGACTTTCCTCGGGTGTTAAATAAGACTGTCTTGTAACTCAAAATTATTTTATGCATTCTGACGCGTAACTCTTTGAAGTGTATTCGGTAAGTATGGCTAAGGGCATAGATATTATCTCATGTGCTGGAAATAAATTGTACCTGTTATATCAACATATTGAATCTTATACTTAATTTGTTATAGGGTGCTAAAAACGCTATTGTAAAGAATATGTATCCCCCTTCTTCTGAAAATTATGTTTCAAATGTTGAATTAAACCATTTTTCCTTTGATTGGTCCTTTCAAGGAACCGAGCTTCCTCCAGGTAAGTCATTAACAATTCAAATTACCAAGTTATCAGAGCCACTTGCTATGAACTTTGCCTTATTTTAATGTACTTTAATCTAAAGGTGTATCTCAGAGTGACTATGCGCCACCACTTCCTAATGCGCCGCCTCCATGCTTACCAATTTCAACCTCTTGCCATCATGGCCAACAGAACTTTTATCAACAGCCCAAACAACAAAAAACTTTACGTGGAAAATACAATAAACATAAACGTGGTTCCTTAAAAAATTGGACCAGTTCTAAGCGAACTCACAATGTTCATAGCAATGATAAACCACCGACAAAAGGACCGTCTAACGTCAATTATCTGGCATCGTCCCAAATGACATCATCTGCCAATTCAGTTCCTCAACAGTGGCACGCGTCAAACGTACCTGAGTGTACGCCACCTTGGCGATCTCATATTTCAACGGTATTTTTTTTTAACAAATTGTACTCCATATAATAAGAATCTAATTAAGTAACATTTAAACCATATTTCAGTCTCTGGACAGAATTGACAACATCAAGCCATACGAAGAGTTTGGAAATCGCCAAGAATGTTTCCACGGACCTTTTATTTCTGAACGTTCGTCATCCATAACTCAATTCTCACACCACCATATATCTCAATATGGTTATCAACCGACTCACCAAATTACGGCAAGTCAATATGATTCGCAACGTTCCTTTAATACATCGTCTTCCCAAGTAAGCATAATGTAAAAAAAACTTATTTAAATAAATATAAACACAAAATATTTACACTCTATCGTATCGGTATAGATAGTAATCCAGAAACCTGCTGCGCCGAATATTAGCAACACTCAAAATAATCAGGAACGTTTTGTTAAAGTTGATGATACCCAAAAGCAAATCGCCAAGAAGTCTGTTAATTCTGACAAGAAGCAACCAGTACTAGTTTTTCCTCGTAGCAAGAAACCAAAAACTGAAGAGACGAAAAAGGACAATCAAGACAAAGGGAGTTGTCAAGTAAATGTCAATGAACCATTAAATCCCCGAACAGGTGTTAATGCTGGTCTTCAGCTCTTTAAGAAAAAAACAAACGGGAAAAAAATCGAATTCAAACTTGTAAGTAGCATTGATCTTTCAAAGCTCAACATTGATAAATGTCGAACTCGTGAGTCATGCGTTCAAGACGATCATCTTGATGTGTCTGTTAAGGTAAGGGTAATCTAGGTGTTCTGTGAATCATAGTATTTTCAATAATAAATTGAAACAATAAACTTGACATATATTAATCCTTGATTAGAAAATTAAATTAGATACAAATAAAAGTGCGGAAGTTACACGAACCGCTCAAAGTACAAAGTCACAAGAGGATAAAGAAGACAACACTAATTCTAATTTAGTTGAACCTCTGAAATCCATAACCGACGAGTCACTAGATGATGCGAATAAAATAGATTATAACAATGAAAATTCATTGAGTCATGATGGTAATGAGAAGGAGAATGAAGATACTGGAGTAGCTTCTGAGCTTACGCAAACTATTTCCAAGGATAATGATCTCAATACAATGGCTATTGATATGAAGCTTGATGGACATACAGAATCAACAATAATCGATGAAAAAGGAACGGAAAATAATAGGTTCGACGCGTACAAAGAAATCATTGAGTTAGAAAAATCTTTTGACAAAGATAATACCAATTACAAAATTGATAGCTTTAATGAAAAGTTGGAAAAATCTTTTGACAAAGATAATACCAATTACAAAATTGGTAGTTTTAATGAAAATTTAGAAAAATCTTTTGACAAAGATAACACCAATTACAAAATTGGTAGTTTTAATGAAAATTTAGAAAAATCTTTTGACAAAGATAACACCAATTACAAAATTGATAGTTTTAATGAAAAGTTCGAAAAATTGAAGAAGCCACCTCAAGATTCAACTGATACGGAAGGACTTAGGTCTGTTGATTCTATTAAACAATTATCATCTAAGAAAAAACGCGTTGTAAAGAAATTACTGAATGTAACCAATAAAGAAGGAAAGGAGTGTAAACAATCAAAATCGCAGCCTAGACCTAGACAAAATTACGTTCGTAAGCAGGAAAAGATTTCGTGGGCGAATGCAAAGAATGCAAAAGTTAATAGTTGCGAATCGTGTGGAGACAAATCTAAGGATTTAGAAACTGTAGGTGCTCTTGCACTTTGCTCAACTTGCGTGCCATTGTTTGCTCCTCAGATGGCTAGAGCCAAAGCATTTCCACACGACTTTAAACTAAATCAAAAAGTGGAGGTACTAAATATAGATAAAGTTTGGTACCCCGCTAAAATTGTCATAGTCGAAAAAACTCAAGTAAAAGTTCACTTTGATGGTTGGGGAAGAGAATTTGATGAATGGATTTCTGTAGATAGCCGAAGGTTAAAAGCACAGGTGGCTGACAATAATTCAGATGATTGCCTATCTAAACCAATTAAAAAGGATAATGATGATATTCAAACAGCGTCAATGGACTTGCAAAAGGATCCTAAAGTTGAAAGTAGCTCAGAGAAGAATATTGACATTGAAACTAATAATAATGATAATAATATTAATAATGATAATAATAATAATAATAATAATAATAATAATAATAATAATCATAATAATAATGATAATAATAATAATATTAATAATAATGATAACGATCATTTAAATAACAAGAATGATAAGAGTCGATCAAATACTTCTGCGTTTTCGATAATATATGGTTCAGATTCTGAATCACTTAGTAGTTGTCCTGATACTGATTCTGAATCAGATATTGGTTCTAGCAGTAACAGTCCTGAATCTGAATTGACAACTCTAAGTGATGAAAGTGATTCGGAATATAACACTGTTAGCAATAGTAGTAGTATTGGCTCAGCACGATTAAGGCGTAGGACTGGTTATCGTAAAAATGTAACATTAAGTCGGCATAGTGTTCCTGAGCCAAAAGCTTCTCAACCGAAAGAGTCATTATGCGAGTCTTGCAAGATTATGCATTTAAATGTTCAAAGGGTTGGCAGTCTTGATTTATGCTCTTATTGTCGAGCGCTTTTTGATGATGATAATACGATTCGTTTTAGGCGTGCTGGACAATACGGATTTCAGCCTCACAAACGTGTTAAAATCTTAGGTCGTGATAGTAAATGGTATCCGGCAACACAGGTTGATGTCGCAAATGGACGTATTCGTGTACATTTCGACGGTTGGAGTGATAAATTTGATGAATGGGTACCAGCTGGAAGTCAAAGAATGAAAGATATGACGTTAGATGAAATATTAGAAGCACAAAAAGCTTTGGAGGAAGAAAGTACAGAAACATTTGATGAAAATGAATCAATGTTAATTCACCATAACAAGGGCAGAATACGTGTTAATGGCCAAAATAAATCTTCGTCTATTTCGAGTTCTTCAAAAAAAAGTTCTTCACAATCAAAAAATGTTCAATCTAAAAAAAGAGATTATCAATATGATGGTGATTCTGATATCCGTAGTCAACAAAGTGAGTCTACCGATTCTTTAGCTTCATTTGACTGGAACGACTTTTATATTGGACGTAATACGCGCCGAAGTATGCGTAACGATAAGCTTTTGAGCAATTCAAACATACTTGCTCAATTGAAGGCGCGATTCAAACCAGGAAATCAGATAGAGGTGCGTGATAGGTTAAGAGAATGGGTACCGGCGACGATAGTTGAATCGAAGAGTTGTCGCATTCTGATTCATTATGATGATGTCCCGGCATTTTACGACGAATGGGTAGATATAAGTAGTGAACGATTGCGCATGAAACCTATAAAGACTAATGAAACGTGTGTAGTTGGTCAAGATAATAAAGACAAGCAAAACCTTCTAAAGAACAAAAAGGATGACCGTAAAAAGAAAAGTAAATTAGAGGCTGTTGATGACTCTTTGGAATTTATAGATCTTAACACTCTACCTTCAGATATGACAGGTTATTATTTAATTAAAGCATTGCATTGCAAAAATGCAATTATGTTGAGAGTTAATATCTTTATTATTATTTTTTTTATATTAACAGCGAAGCAAAAATGGTGTATATATTGCAATCAATGTAATGTAATTATAAAGCAATTTAGGTATGTATATCATAGCAAACAAATTTTTATTAAAAAAAAACAAACAAACAAAAAGAAATACATATATATATATATGTACGTATCTGAAGTTAGCATCTACCTGGTACCTGGAATTTCAATTTCTGGTACCTGAAGCAATATTAATTACCAAATAATATTGTGTAATACCTGATTTCAGGAGGTTTAATTTGCAACTTCATTTAAAAAAATAAAGAGAATTTGATTTTTTTACATTGTAAATCTTTTTTTTTTTTTTTTAGATATTATTGCACTTATTGCGAAACGCCGTCAGAAGGAAATGATTATAAAAGCTTCGAATTATGCGTATGGTAAGGCGTTTTCCAAGTTGTTTTCAAGCAAAGTCAGGGATAATGGGTTAACCGTATTGTAAAATTCCGTCTTATACTAGGTGTTATGCTCATCAATTTCCAAGCTATCATGAGCATCCGCGATGTTCTTTTGCATGTCAGTCGGTGATTGATGATGAAGCAATTAAAATGTCTTCAAAGGGTGAAGTCATCAAGACATTTGATAAAGACATTTTTGACACAACTTACAAAGATCCAGGCATTGATCTTGCGAGTGAAAACGTGCAACTAGATAGTGGCATGGGATATCTTTATTTGCAAGCGTGGAACTCGCGTAAGATCTGTGGTTTTTGTAATGATGATGATGGTCAACAGCTTGGTGGATTCATAGGGCCTCAACCTTTTGTTACCAACACTTATACGCGCCATGGTGAGAAGCAAAAAATTTTCTGGGCTCATGAGGCTTGTGCAAAATATTCCCCGGAAGTTTTTGTTTCCAAGTCAAATGATTGGTACAATGTGACCTTAGCATGGAAAAGAGGTCGAAGTATGGTGAGTTGATTGATAATTTGAATACTTTGTAATTTAATGAAATTGAGTTCATTACATTAATTTGAATGTCGTCAATGATTGCAGAAATGCGGAAAATGTAAAGAACGAGGTGCGACTATAGGATGCTTCGAACCTAAATGTACAAAAAGCTTTCACTTGCCATGCACCGATAAGCCGCTTTCTCATTTCGAGATGGGTGTCATTTTTTACTGTCCTACTCACGAATCACGCTATCTCAAGAAAGGTATAATTAAATCGTTAATTTTAATTTCCAAAAATAGATTATTAAAATACTTTTCTGCCATAAAGAAATGTATAATGAGATATATAGATGCGATGTTTGTTCCCGTGAATTACAGGCAGACAAATGGTGGACTTGCAAACCATGTGAATCAAACTTTTTCTCTTCTTTTGATTTATGCCCACAGGTATTGATGAAGCATTAATAAATTTAATTATCAGCCTATTATATCAAAACCTAACAAATATTATAAACTTTTAGTGTTTTACTGAGAAATTCCCGGAGACACATGAACATAGTAAAGAAGATTTTGATGAAACATGTAAGTATACTAAAAGAACTTGTTTAGCATCGACGCAATTGAGTAAGCATGCATAACATGTAGAAATTATAGCTGTCAAGCAGATAAAAGACCAACAAATTACAAAGCAAACGGAAATGGTTCTCGCTAGTCAAAAAGCTCGTGAATCAGGTAAAGTACGACAAATTTAACACGTAATATATTTAGCGTAAAAGAATATTATTGATTTTTTTTTTTTTTTGACACGTTTACAGGAATGCGTAAGAAATCTAAGAATTATCCAAATCATGGAAAGGGACAGTTACAATGTTCTTACTGCTGGGCTGATGAATCTTCTCGGTGGCGTAAAGGTAAAAAATTTTAAAAGTAAAATAATTATAAATTTCGATGAATCTTCATATTTTTATTTTTATTTTTATTTATCGTAGGATATGATGGAGTGTTGATGTGTGAAGATTGTTTCGAATTAGTATTGGTCAACAATACTACTGGAGAATCTCATTTAGAAACAAACAAGCTGATGGTTACCAGTGAAGATTATTCATATCGTCCATATCTGACAAGAAACTCATGTTCAGACAAGAAATTTGACTATTCAGAATCGCAAACAATATATTTGGACACGTATGAGCCTGCAGAAAATCAACTGTTTTCACTACCATTTGACAGTTCATACTTTGATATTCCTGGAAGAGCGCCAAGATGTAGTTAATCTTGTGTTAATGTCGTTTATAAATGTGGTTATTTTATATTAATTATTACCATATGTACAAATATCATCAATAGGGGCAACGCATAGTGGTACTGATTATCATGGAACTTGGTTACCACAAACTGTTCGACGGTATATTTTAGATAAATTTATGTGAATTGATGTTATAGTGTGCTTTATGGATTGAACATAAATTTTTGCTCGTGTCTAGTGCCTTGCTTCGTTTCACAAAAAAGAATGACCGAGTCATGTCAAATTTCCTTGGAAGAGGTGAGTTGATAATATTTAATATTTTAATTAATTATGAATGTCTACTATAGTTCTATTTAACATTTATAGGAACGGATGCGATTGAAAGTTTTCTGCTTTGTAGAAGGTAAATTTCTTACATATTAACAACTCGATCTATAAATCAAAACAATAATTATCAATGCGTATTATTTTTAAAGACTCGTCGGCGTAGATATCAATCCAGTGAGTTTTAATGCCTTTTTTTTTTTTTAACAACATCAAGATTTTGATATAAAGTTAAATAATTAATTGTTTTTTCATGTAGGCTGCAGTAGCTTTATCTCAGCGCAACTGCTCATTTGCTATTCCACCAGATAGAGGCATCACAGCTGAGCATCGACCTATTATTCTTCAAGCAGATTCCAGGCATTTGACAGGAACAATTTTTGAAAATGATTCTTTTGATCATGTTTTAAGTCACCCTCCTTATAAAAATTGGTATGGCTAGCTCTAATTTGTTTTATGAATTTAGCAGATGGTATTTAAATTTTTTTCCTTTCATAGCGTTGAATATTCAACTCATATTGATGGAGATTTATCAAGGTTTGCAAATTCTAAAGAATTTGCAATAGAAATGAGTAAAGTTATTGATGAAACTTGGAGGTAGTTCTAATAATTCTTAAGTTAACTATTTTTAATATATTTATTTTATGCAAACTTTTAACTGTTTATGGTTTTAGATTATTGAAACCAGGCAAAAGAGTTACGCTTGGTATTGGAGATAATCGAGAACATTGCTTTTATGTTCCAGTCAGTTTCAATTTATTCCGTCAATATATAGATCAAGGATTTGAATTAGAAGAGCTGGTAAATTTTCATAGTTTTAATTAATGTATTTACATAATTGGTTATTTATTATTTTGCAATGATACATGCAGGTTGCGAAAAGACAGAGATATTGTCAGGCTTTTGGATTGGGAACCTATCTTTGTGTGCAATACGATTTTTTGATGTTTACACATGAATTTATTGCTACTTTCAGGAAAGTTGATAAAGAAAAAAATGACATTATGTTAAGTATACCTGGTATGTTATATATTTCATGGTGTTTTAATATAGGCTGTGTTCTGAGAAAAGAGACCAAATAATAATAATAATAATGATAGTTTTGCGGAAAATTGTGGTTTATATTATAAATTCTATAATAAATTATAAGAAAATACAAAATTTAAAAGGTTATACTGCAAAATTTTAAGAAAACAGAATTTGTTTCTTAAGCAAAAAAAAAAGATTTTAAATTTGGATTAGTTTAACTTGAAAAAAAAATTTTTGAAAATACTATCAACTTGACCCCTTTTCTCAGAACACACAGCCATATAATCGCCCTATATTCACAAGCAATAATTGCTTAATTTTTCAGACGAATCGGTGTTAGACGAATATGTGACATTTTCAAGTAAATTAAGAGAAATTCCGATTCTTCCTATCGCGCGTAAGAGTGTTGTCATGGGCACTACATGGACATTTAAGCCTACGTCTAAACATAATTTTGTGCAGCTCTGTACTTCAAGGATGGTAACTATTATTTATTATTATTATTATTATTATTATTATTATTATTATTATTATTATTATTATTATTATTATTATTATTATT